TTCAGCCGATCAACCTCAATCTCTGATAATTTGTTCGTTTTACTGGAAGGAGTTACATTCTTGTTCGTTTATCTCAAAATCTTATATCATCTTTTCGATACCTTCGATTCGAGATACAATATAAACATTACTTTTTTTCTCATACAATATAAACACTATTTTATTAAATTTTTAATTCATATAAATGTTTGCTCAAGACTTGTTTGAATATACAATTAGGTATAAAAAATTAAATGAGTCTCAATTTATATTTTGATTTAAAATGGAGTTTGATTTTATTTAATTAATTTTTTTGTACTCATTGTTTCCTATTCAAAATCAGCATGAAATTCTCACATGTGTCTTTATCTATATGGATTCTCAATCCGTCTAAAACAAGATGGTCCATACACCTCAACAGAATACGTTTTGGTTCTGCCTTTGAACGTGTTAAGGTCCAAGAATCATCAAGTGCTACTTTCTTTGACAAAACCCTTTTTCTGGAACTTAGCTCTTTACGACACCGTTGGCTTGAATATTGCTCCCAGCAACATTCATCTTTGACTTATCTATAAGTTTTCACTTGATCCTTACTATATTAGAGTAAGTGATCAGGTGTAAATCAAAACAAAAAAAAAACATTCATCTTTGACTTTCTTTACTAATGGGACGAATTTGATGTCAAATTACACTCTCGATCACATAAAAATATAAAAATGTGATTTATTTTAATAAAATTGAGTGTGAAATTTTCATTTAAAACGATTAAAATTGAATAATAGACAAATAATTGAACATGAAAAAAGAAAATAAAAAGACTACAAAAAAATAAAATATACTGAAAATGTATTGCTGGATCCAACGAGGCTCCAAGATTCTTTATTGTTCAAGTATTAACTTTTCCTTTTTTTTTTAATATGTATTTTCTTTTCATAATTTAATTTTTAGCAAGTTTTTTCAAAATAATTCAATTTTTAGCAATTTTTCAAAATTGTTCTTTTAACGAATTGTACAAAAACCGACAAACAGCAGGAATTGTGCAAAAATCATTTACCCAACCTTGGAGTTAGCTAGTCTATAGATTTGTTAGAACTAGATGTTCCACCTATTAGCATTGCGTTTCTTCTAAACGTTGATTTGTGCAATGTTACTTTTTTTTTATAGTCATCTCCAATTCTTTGACTATAAATTTTTTAAAGGAGGGATTTAGTTGACTTTTTTTAGATTATCTTGCTAGGCCTTTTGTTTCTCAAGTATATCAAGATAAAGTAACTAAATATTATTCAATTCAATCTAACCATAGGTATGACTTTTGTGCACAGCCTTCCAATTTTAATAGTTTACTTTCTTTTCTATCTTTGTTTTTTTGCTTATTCAATCAATTTTCTTTTTATTGGCAACAACTGAATTCTTGATTATTTTGGTCAAAACGCGGTTTCTTGATTATTTTGATCAAGGCGGGGTTTCTTGGTAATCTTATATACCACTTGTGTCATTTAAGTTGACGAAATTTTGATCAAGATAACTTTATCTAGAGACTTATAATTGTGAATAAAAAAACAATAATAATTTTCATTTAGGTGACTTTTTTCTAAAGTTATTTTTTACATTAGGTTATTTTTACCTTAGGAGTTCTACTTAAAGTCACTTTTACATTAAGTGAATTTAACCTCGAATAATTTACTTATGTTACTTTCACCCAATGAATTTTATTTTTTGTGACTTTTCACTCAAAAATTTATTTTGGCCGACTTTTACCCAATTTTTTTTTTTTTTACTTTAGGTGACTTTTACCCATATTTATTTATTTATAATTCTAACTTTAAAAGAATAATTTGTTATTATCAAGATTTATTGTTAATGCTTTTTTATTTAATTTTTTGCCTTTTTTTCTTTTTATATGGCTTATTCTCCAAAAGTTGGATTAAGGAATATGATCAACATTTCCAAACAAAGAACGAGCTGACTTCATGGTGTATGGATTTTTGCACTTTCCCGTTATTGTATTGAAGAACTACCAAACCAATGAATGATTCAAATTAGGGGTAATAATCAGGTCGTATCGTGTGTGTTTAGGTCGTGTCTTTTGTAGGTTAAGGTCAAAAATTCTTCAACCCAAATACAACCTGGGTAATTAGACGTGTTAAATTATCAGACCCAAACACAATCTACTTCTAGCATGAATAACTCTACACGACTAGTATGACACGAATAATACACAGATCGTGTCTGGGTCAACACGACCCATGTGACCCCTGTAACACTAATTCAACATGACTTGTGTAACACTAACACAACTTGTTTAATCATAAGTAACTACATATTTCATCCATTCAACTACATCTCAATCTCAACCAATATACAACAACAAAAACCTTAAAGGCTTAGCATAAACATGCCTATCAATGCTTCAACCAACATTACAAAAGTATATCTCAAAAACAAAACCCTTGACATAATAGTAAAAACGCTATAGTCACTGTCCTAGACAGTGAAAAAATCTCATTGTTAACAGTACCACTATCACAGTTGTTAAACAGTGAAAATACCCCACTGTTATTGTTTCAGGACACTATTATTGTCTTGGGATAGTGAAAATATCTCACTGTCATCATTCTACATTGATTTGAATATGAACTATCATAATAAGAAGTATTAAAATAAGTAATACAATGTTTAGATTGAAGGAGTGATATGGAAGAGAGAGGAGATACAATCAGTAGGATGGAAGAGAGAGGAGAGAGGGAAATTTAAATAAAAAAATAGAAGAGAAATTGACGAAGAAAAAGGATAGAAAAATTGAAGGAAAATGTAGATCGAAAGAGATATAGGAGAGCGAATGTGTGGGATGCAATAAAGAAGAGAGAGGAAAAATTAAATAAAAAGTATAAAGAGAGATTGACAGAAGGGAGAGGATACTGAAAGAGTGGGACGAAATAAATTGAAGAGAATAATTCAAGGTCAAACCAAAAATAAATAAAAAAGAAAAGAAAGAACGAAACGAGTCTTATAGATCTGTTATCCAAGATTCCAAATAGTGCATATCATGTGTCCTTAATGACCCAATAAATTCGCTCTTATATTTATTGACAAAATAAATTGTCATATTGTACTTGTTTTTAATTTCCACTATTATTTTTTGAAAATATTATTGTGACAGAGAGATCTTAGTCAACCTCATTCAAAGCATTAATGTTGGCCTTATTATAGGTGAAATTACAAGTAAGCACCTCAACTACTTATGTCATTTTAACTTGCATCTCCTCCAAGCTATTAAACAATTGAATAGTTCGAGCTCTATTAGTTCAACGCATACTTATTCAAAAATCCATAAAACATTATCAATTTTCAAACCTTTGGATTATTACAGATAAACCTGAACTAGAGTTCAACATTTGCAACCGAGCTCAAGCCGATGTTAAACAAGTTATAGTCAACTTAAACTTTGAATATATTAAAACTTTAAAGATTCAACTCGATTAACACTCAAACGAACACGATTAGTCGTTGTCATAGAATTATAGCAAAATTTAAGGATATAAACACCATCAAGCTAGTTGAGGGCATTTTTTTTCCTAAATCTAGACCTAAAAAGTAAGATTGTGAATAAATGTTTTTGTTCAAATATTTTTATTTATATTTTTTGTTTTTTTGAAGTTTTTATTTAAGGTGACGTTGGGAACAACTTATGAAATTCAAAATTTATTCTGAAATAAGTATTTATTAAAAATACATTATAAGAAAAACACTCATTTAATAAGTAATGTTTGAAGGTTCACAACAAAACACTTGAATAAAATGTACTTTGCAAAAAATGAGTTTGAATGGTCAACTTAAAAACACTTATTATGTCACAATTACTAATATATCTCAAATGCATGGACACAAACGTTGACACATTTGTTACGACAATAGTGTTGTTGGTTGATAGTGGTGGCGAGTGGTTATGGTGATCATAGAGGGGTGGTGGTAGCAGTAGTAGTGTGGTGGTGACATTGGTGATGGTGATGATAGATTGTGTGGTGGTAATGATGGCAAGTGCTGGGGGTAGCAGTAGTGGTAGTTACATTGATGAAGGTGATGGTAGGTGGTTAGGGGTAGTGGTGGCAATTACTAGTAATGATGATGGCGAGTAGTAGCGATAAGGCGGTGGTAGTAATAGTGGTGATGGTAGTGGTGGGAGTGATCAGAGAGGGTGGTGACCAATTGTGAAATGTCATGGCAATGGTGAGAAAAGTGGTGGAAGTGGGTCATGACGGTGGTGGTGGTTTAACTTTTAGACCCCCAGGCAAGCACTTTTTAGACCAGTAATTGCAAAGTAAGTTCCAGATGCATACAATAACCTCGGTACCATTATGAAGAATGAGAAATCAAGGATGAAAAATAAATACAAGGGATGACAAAATGACTATTAGTTTTCTATAAGTCCACCACCTCTTGCCAGACCTGTACCTTTTTCGAAAAAGTATCATTTTCTTTTGCAAGACTAAAAGATGTAAATCACATTGACATTCAAAATTGCAAAGGGGAAGAGTCACAAAAAAGAGAGAGAGAACCAAAACAACAAACATGCCAAGTGGAAAACAAGCTGTGAAGAAACTAGGACAACAGCGCAAAAAAGAACGATATGAACTAGCATATCCAGTATAAAAGCAAATAACTAATGGTTACTATATGCCCACTGGTTTTAGATCTAGGAACTCAACCAATCTTTGTATAATCATATATTAAGACCAAAGTTCTTCAAACAAAATGATAACTAACATATCCACCCAAAACGCCAAGAAATGTACACAACTAACCATCCATGATCTTGTAATGCACTAGTATTATCCTGCAACATTGCTACAGTAGCATTTGCAAAATGAAAAATACCCATTGAAGTAATACAGACTTAATGGAACCTCCCTCCCTTTACTTGTGTTTGGGGGGGGATTTTTAGCATAAGCCACCAAATTCAGTGGGGGAACACTTACTTATTTACAATTATAAACAGATTGATTGAGAAGTTTGTTACCATATCACTCCCAATCAACGTCAAAAAAACCAGCATCTTTCATCTCAGAGTAGTACACATTGTCCAAATGCAAATCTTCTTCCTACAGTCATCAAATACTACTTATAATTGGGCTACACTGGAATCTCATCAAAAATAAGATAATGATATTTGAGAAAATAAAGAACTCAAAATGGACAGAAGAAGCTGACCTGGAAAAAGTCTGCGAGAAAGGTTACATATAAAAGGGGAAGATAGAAGGCATGGTAGCAAATAACAGTGACATCATACAACCTGTAAAATAATACATCAAAACCCTTAGAAAACAGTTGCCCAAGAAAAACCTAGAAGGAGTTGCATTACTCTAACAATAAGATACGTGGAGGCATACCATAAACCAAACCCAGCCCCATTTCCAGTAAGCACACAAGCAAACAGAGCGGTCGCATTCAAACAAAACATGACAGTGATGTAGTTGTAAAATGCAGGTCTCGCTGTAAAATTAAGAGAAAAATATCAGGTTGAACTAGAATGTCAATAGAACACAATTTTTAACAAATGCACATGTTACAAGAACTCACCAGGTAACCTTTCTCTCCATCTTGAGTGGTAGATAAAGAATATGAAGCCATAAACTGCAGTAAGGAGTAGCTTGTGGACAACCCACAAACCCCATTTGATTCGGCGCGTGTTGTCATTATTATCAATGAACAATGGAATCCCAAATCCAAACAAGTAGATTGCCTAATAAATAAACACATTGAACAAGAAACTGATTATATTATTCTAAAATCATGGCATAAACATATTCTACATGCTTTTTCAACTACAATTGGGAAATAAGAGACAGACAAGAGACACATATGCAAATAAGAACAACGTTGAAGTTACCATACTGACCCCTCCGTGCAAAATTTCAACATGACCACGAACGAGGTTTCAGAATTTGAAAGGATGCAAGACAAATGCCTCAAACTCCCCAATGCGAGATAACAGAAAATGAGCTGAGAAATGACAAGCATTTGTTTGGAGTTCTCACTCAAAGCACTTCTCCAGGGAAAATTATGCTCAAGTCCTACATTTCTTTTAACAGACCATTAAGTCCTATCAATTGTTATTACGAAAATAAAGTCATAATTTGATAACAATTTCCAAAAATTCATGCTTTCATTAGCAATGCGTTAATACAAATTTAACAGATTCTTGTCAAACTACATTACTGCCTTCAACCTCCAAATTTGTCATCCCAGGATAATTGGGGATAAAAAGTGTACAATTACAAACAAAACCTATTACACAAATTGTAAATATTTTGGAAATAATAGATGCTAATTGCAGAATCATCTGGCAATTTTAAGCTTTCTAACTCCCCTTTTTAGTTGTTCAACAGTATTAAACACATCTCAAATAATTTCCAAGTTAGTTTATAATGGTCATTTAAGCACCTAAACATTGTTGGCTAGCCAAGATAACAATACGGGCCATTGACTTTAACATTAAGATGGGCAGTTGATGGAAGGAGATAAAGACACAAAGCTATTTTCAGCAATGTAACTCCCTGTGAATATGTACTATGAAGAATCAATACTAACCACTGCCAACCATAAACAATGAATTGCAAATTAGATAACCGACACAATGCCAAAGAATATAGGAGAGAAAGTTGTGATCCACCTCAAGAAAAGAAGACAAATATTGGGGGGTAGAGAGGAGGGGGGAGAGAGAGAGCTAACAAAACTAAGAGGCCTGCTGAGATACGAAAAAACACAAAAGGCTTGTAGAAATACAAAACAAAACTAAACCAAAAAGACCAGCTCAATTTTGAAGTGAACTCAGACTAAGAGGCCTACAAGTCGACCTCATATGAAGGCAGATGGAAGTGGAAGCATAACACACGTTTGTCTCTTATGGTAGGTAATTTTGTTAAAAAATACTTGGGACATACATGGAGCTTAAAACAAAAGTTGATCGGATTCAATTGCCTTGAGTTGGAAAAGTAGGACTCATGCAATTCTTCTTTTTCTAAGGTGGGCTTCATTGAGGTGCTAGGGACACTGACTAATATTTCATGGCACATGCACACAGTGGAAGAGTCAAACTAAGAGCCTTAACCTATTAAAGTGGGCTCCTAGTGTTAATCTGTCTATTCCTTAGGGTTGCTCAAAAGCACTATGTATGCTACCAAGGATACTGAAAACGAAGACTCAAGTTAACCATTGGCATCATCTGATATTAATTGCGGGCAAGCAATAAGATTCTCCTTATTGGGTCAGACTATCTTAATGTATGCCACTCCATGTCTGCACACAATGCAGAGAAACTAGAGAAGGAAAAATTGAATAGAAACTTCATGAGTATCCATCTCAAACCGTTAATGCTTTTAAAATTAAAGCAAACAACTACATAAGAGTGTTTGCAAACACCAAAAAAATAATAACAATAATAGGTCAATCATGAGTTCAACAGGTCCAAACAAAAGATTTTTTCCTTTTGAAGTCCAAACAAAAGATCTTTTCCTTTTGAAGTCCAAACAAACGATTGTTCATCTGTTCTTGATTGTATCACTAAATTGCAATCTATTCACTTAAACAAGTATGACCAAAGCCACCCAAAAAGCTAATGCCATAGCAAACTTTGTAATGGTACAATCACAAGGAAACATGGTATATTTCCATTCTAGAGCACTAAAAATTTAGCGGCTAAAATATATTTTTCCCTACATCTTTCCAATTCCATATCTTCATGGGAATAAACAACACCCAATAAAACTTCACATTGTGCTTTCCTATTTATCAAACTCGGAAGCAGAATGTAGGAACTTGTTCATTTGAACGTTGTCATATTTAACCAGCCATCTACTCTATAAAGAACTTGCATTTACAAATACCTTGAGGAATTTTAACTAAATTATTTCAAAATTCGACCCTAGTTCCACATTTTACCATCAATGGAATACCGTGATCCTGTTCCCAATTTGCGAACGGGAATGATGCAGCTCTCAGATAACATAGACTATGAGGAAACTTGTTGAAAAGTAGATTCTCTCTACATCAAATTCCACTTTAAATAGGGGGACGAAAATTTTCGGCCACCTGGTTTCTTCACATCTACAGGAATGAAGTCTATCCAACAGATTTTTAGTAACACTACACAGATGAATTCCAACCACAACTAACTGCTCAACAAGAAAGCATAAAGTTGGAAATCTTGAGAGGAAAACTAAGAATACCTTGAGAAGAATATCCAAACCCACAATGAGCCCGGAGACAACAAAAGTCCTCGTCAATGCTTCCTGTCCACTTGCATAGTTTCCTTGGAGTAAGAAAGCCATCAAGCTAACTTCAAGAAACAGCATTCCAGTTGTTGTAGATAATGACAAGATATTCCAAGCCACCTCTTTCACAGAACTACACTCCCATGCCTATTCCAATACAAAGGAAGTCAGAAAACAGCCAACCGTAAAACATGTAGAGAATAAATAGTATGATGCACATCTGGCCACATTTTACTATTTTAGATTACACATGAGAGTTGGTAGCAAATGTCTTAGTTAAGTATTTATGTACCATTTTGCAATCAATACAAAAATCAAGAGAGGGACACATAATGGATCTTGGACTACTATTTCTGCATCTCCCTGACCGAATAATATTTTTTTTCGCGGTTTAGTTCTTACAAGCAACTGATTGTGACCACCACAGAACAGTAAAAGTGGGTTCAATTTCAGTATGACATGTGGTTTGAGAACTCTATCTTAAAGTAGCAATATCCAGATCATTATGCCATGCATATAGTGGTTCATTGCACATTATGTAAGCTCTCAACTGGGTTACTAGAGTGCCGCTCCTATACTAGAGCCTTTTTCAAGAGTGTACTTGGGAGTTTCTTGATGATTCATTGAAGTCAGCTATTCTACTTCAACCTAGAAATAATTGGCCATTGAAATGAGACGGCGAGTGTCTATGCATGGAAAATTCAGGTGAAGCCATTCTACCACAAAGTTTCAGCAATGAAGTTCCTCACTTCTTTGGAGACAAACACTGAGGGCACACCTTTGAAGAAGAAAGAGTGCGTTTTACCATAAATGTTCTTGCATATGTAAAGGGCAGACATAATCCACTACATAACATGCATCACAATTTTCAAGCAGTCAGTAGCAATAAAATGAGGTTATGAACATCAGACCTCACCTCATAAGGGGCAATGATAAAGATTAAACGCATCACACATGATGTTTAAATCCGATACTAGTAACTGCAAACATCTGATTGCAATTGAAGAGATCAATCCTATAAAGCATAAAGGGTTGCGAAAACAATTTTTCCACATACGAGGATAAGGCTACATATATCTAACCCTCCCCAAACCCCACGGTGGTTGGAGCTTGTACCCAGGACCGACCTTTTTAATTATATGAAACATAATGGGTCCAGATTTCCAATGTAAGATCAACGTCAACACACTATATGTGTATGATTAGTCTCCCAAATTTGTTCAAGTATCTAATTTCAATGTTTCTATAATGTTGGACTAGTCGAATCATTAAGATGTTGGGGGTTCATACTCCATCTACAAAATAGTGGGAGTAAAGATAGGAGAACTGAAAAGACGAGCATAGATACAATATTATCAGCAGAGGTGATCAGGAAGGGAAGTGAAGAAAGAATGGGTGCATTTTCCTTTTGCATTCATTGTATTCCTTACTCCCAATATTGGAGGAAGTGGGAAGAAAATGAGGGACCTTTTCTTTTTTATACTTTTTCTTTCGAATAACACTCCACCTTTTTTCTGAAAAGGTGCAATAGCACTTTCTCAAAAAAAAAAGGGTAAATGGCAAAGTAAAGAACACATTTTCTTCTCTTTCCCTTTTCCATCCTAATCAACCAACCATAGGCAACTTTCTTTCCCTAGGATACCTTTTCCAATACTTCTTTCATACTACCAAATGGACCACAAGGCTACCTAGTAAAGCTTGCTTCATTTCAACACTGGAACGATAGGTGCTTATAGCTTTATGATTGAGATATATGGCGTTTCAGGTTCAACACAGGCGCAATAGGTGCTTGTAGCTTCTTTATAATTCAGATTGTTGGACATTTCGAGTTTCTGATTTGGCAGTGGTATAAATTCCAGAAATATAGAGTTGCAAAAATAGATGTTTTTTTGAGAGATTATAGATGTAGTCCACTTTATAACATTTTTTTAAATAGGAAACGGGAAAAACGCATTAATATCAAAAAGTCAAAGATTACATGAAAAGGGTTGGCTAAGAAGTCCAACCAAAAGAAAAACAAAAATATAATAAAAAGAAAATTCATTACAAAATCAAAAATCCCATGAAGCTCTTCATCTCACCAAAATACTAAAAATTGGGATTCTTTTGAATTCCTTAGAACCCAAAGCCCAAAACAATGCAATAAAATGAATATAGTCCCCATAAACCATCCAGCTCTTCGCTTTCATCTACAAAAATTCTTGAATTCCTTTCCTTTCAGATAACTCAAAAAATAGCCATAATAGCACAATTCGATAAAGTCATTCCTTTACCACTCTGCCCAAAACCTATGGATGATGCAGGAAACACCCACATCAATCCTCCCAAAGCAAACAACTTATACCAAGGCAAGAATAGGTCTCCTGAATTACCAAAAGTCAAAGCAAACACAAGATTAGGTTTCCAAGTGAGATTGATGTATCAAATTTCGATGTTCCACCTGCCATGGAGTAACTCAATAATAACATTTTCTACTTTATGGAAACCTAGTAGTGTTTCCTTACTTTGACACCAGTCTGGTGGGTGCTTTTAGAATCTTTCTATGGTTTGAAGAATTTTATGCTCATTTTGGTTTTGTAGCACTATACAGTTCTCTAAACAATATTGGCATAAAGTGCATTTCACAAGAATCCTAGTATGGTTTCTAAATGAAAATAATGACTTGATTTTTTTATTAAGAATTGCATGAAAACGAAGAATTTTTCTTGTCTCTTGTTAAAAAATATTTTCTTCCTTTCTCTTCATCTTCATCGCGTTGTCCAATCCTTAAGCTCTATGATTAAGGTCTTTGTATCTGCATACCCCAACCACCTATCTGAGTAATTCACACTGTAAGCATTACATAGCATAAGTGCTTACATCACCAACTCATAACCTTTTGATAATATATACACATAAGTCCCAAGGGAAATCAAGTGCTTTGGTGTATGCAGCATGACAACGTCCTCTAGATTCACATCAGCCACATCACTATTTGATCGTGAGGGCTTGTAGTCTAAACCATAATTTGTCACTCAACATTCAGAATACATATCAATCCTTAATTTCCCATCATCTTCTAACTTCGTCCAAGAATCCAATCTATGATACAACTTTGTGTATCCATTCATCTTTGATAGACGCGAACTAATAGTTCAAAAGAAACTTGAATTGCTCATACATTCATCAAAAAATACTTACTACCAGAGCCATAGCAAATACCACATAAAAAAACACATAAGCAAGTCTGTTTCCTTGTACATGTTTGTGAACACATCTCCTGTGTGCACTATACAACTAATCAAAAATTGTCTTTCATAGGGTCATTAAATGCATGCTTAGGCCAGCACCTTGGGGTGCAGCAAGGCCCAGCTGTAGCGCCTTGCCCAATCCCATGCGAGGCCACTTCAAGAAGACGCGCACATAGTGGTCTCAGGCCCAAGTCACTTATCTGCTTCATTGAACTTTTTTGTTCTGCCTCTATCTTTTCCAGATTGCATTTGGGATAATGAACATTATATAGTTGTGTGATGTCTTAGGTTTGCGTGATACACAAAACAAGCTGTAAAAAAGCCAATGTGACGCTATGCAATGTCAAAAGAAATCCCTACGGGTCACCTCTCTCTCCATATGTCTAACAAACGATTTGGTGTCTATATTTTCTTATCCTCTTCAAATCTTCCCCTCTCTATATATATCTCTTTTCATTTTCTCTTATTTATTTTTGCTCATCCTTGTTTCATCTTTGCCTCTGTCCCTTCTTTTCTTTAAGTTTCTTCCTTGATTTTTCTTACTATTCTCTCTCCTTTTTCCCATCTCTTTCTCACTCTACTTCTCTTATTTTTCATCGCCGTCTCACTCAATCTCTCTCTCTATCCATGTCTCTTTATGTGTTAGATGTGGGGCTTGAAACCAAATAACTGAATGAACTTTGCAAAACTTACGTCTTTTCTACAGTAAAATGTGCTACCAGTACTTGAAGTTTGTTTGCATTTGCTCAAGCAATTCAATTGTTGTGATTTGTACAGATGGCATTGCATAAATTGAGAAGTTGTGATGCAAAAACTTTGTTTTTGTGCTGAGCTGTTTATCAGATTAGAACAGGTTATTGAACATGTGAAATGAGCTTTTGTTTACTGAAATCAGCCTGTTAGGGATATTTGGGAAGGTGGATGTTTTATGATGTTTGCATTTTCTGAATATTTGCTTATATTTTACTTTTGTCATGGTATGTCATGGTTTGAAAAATCGTTTGCGTGTTATGTGTCTCAATTCAATGAGGCGTGTGCCTCGTCTAACGCATCACAACTACCCCTGGCAACCTTGACCCCATAGTGCGCATTACGCCTTGAATAATACAGGTCCTTCCAAGCTCAAAATTGACCCACAAACGGTAATTAATTTAGTTAGCAAAGTTATAATTCAAGTAAAAAAAGATTCATCAAATGTTCTACACGGTTGTAAAGAACACACCTGAAGCAAACACCAAGCGAGATTGAGAACACTGACGAGCCAAAGAAACCCGTAATACGTAATAATAATATGGGATCGGTCATTCAACAGCTTGACAGAACTCTTCTTCGCCTGAAATGCCAAGTATAAGACAAACAAAGCCGAAGGGACAATCAAAGCGATATTATGCCAAAACCCATGGCACTCAGAGAACCATCCGTACAATCTCCAAGCACCATTTACCCCTCCTCCTCCTCCTCCAACTGCTGAATCCGAGACCATCGAAACCGGAACCTGCGCTAAAACTTCGTGAACTCTCATTGTTATTCGACCTAGACCTAAAAATGGACCAAATTGAAGATTGATGGATTCCGAAATCGAACTTTCAGAATCAGAACTCAAGATAGGAAAGAAGTGAGGTTTTCTGGAACCACCAACCCCAACCCTAACGCTGG